CACAAGTTCGCTCCATTAAACGTTTCAATTTCATCCGTCATTCCTTGTTCGTCGCCTCGTCATTCGCGACAATATTTTAACCGGAAGACGCGGAAGTTTCCTCCACCCACGGGGTGCCCCGTGGTACCGAACGCGCGCGGCATGGAACGACATCGCGACATTTTTGGTCCTGGCCAGCTCCTGCCTTATCAAAGTCGCTGAAAGCTTTTTTTTTTTTTTTTTATAGCGGCGCTTTTAAGGGCTAGTTTCCCCAGTTTCGTGCGCCTGGAGAAATAAATCTCGACACAACCCTCTGGACAGCTACCGCCATTTATGATCGGCGGCATCACATAGTACAGCTCCGCTGCTCTTCCTTCTTCACCAGAGTGAAAAGGGTGAATTTTTTTTGGTCGAAATACAAAATATAAGTGGTGCAAACTGTTTTAATTATTTATGAAAGTAGTTTTTGTTTATCATTTTACATAAAAATGAAAGCCGTTTACAATTCCCTGTAACGCCGGTTAGACCGCAGCTCTTGAGGAGGAAGATGGAAGCGTACGGAGGGATAGGCGACTCCTTGAGGTCACGTGACCTCAAGGGGGTCACGTGACTTGAAGGGGTCTATGACCTTAGGGAGGTCACGTGACCTTATGGGGGTCACGTGACCTTAGGGGGGTCACGTGACCTCAAGGGGGTCACGTGACCTCTGGGGGTCACGTGACCTCGGGGGTCACGTGACTTAGGGGTGTCACGTGACCTGGGTGGGTCACGTGACCCCCTTAGGTCACGTGACCTCGGGCGGGTCACGTGACCTCGCGGTTACGCCGACGGCGACGGCGACGCCGACGCCACTCAAGCCGGAAACGGGCCCCTGAGAGCTGCGCTCTAGAAACAAACAAATGCTGTTTCTGAAGTACGGAAACAAGAAATGATCCGTCGTCATACCCGCCCCCAAGCGGTGGAAAAGGTGGCGCATACTAGAAAAGGGTAGAGGGATAAGGCGCCCACGCGCGGCCACGCAATTGCTATGAAGCGGCAAACATAGAAAGGTCCCGGACGTACGCAGCGGCGCTGCGGTCATTTGAGCTGGAGGATCCGACCGGTTTCGAGCGTTCCGAAGACCTTTGCCGAGCAGGTTTGGCTTGCGGTTTGGTCGTTTGGCGGTTTGACAGCGCGAAGTGACTCCCGTTCTGAACTGATCTTTACCCCGTGTTTGCTGTCGTTTGTGGCCAATGAAGTGGCATGCCGAATTAGTGTTTAATCGCGCAGCAAATGGAATGCCGAGGTGCCCTGGCCACCCTCTTCATCCAACCATAGCCTCCTCTATACTGACAAAGCATGGCAGATCGCCACGAGACGCTGCCACCGAAAGTGAAAAGGTAGAGCGGCAGACAGTAGTCATGTAACGGGCGCCCCGCTACGGCGAGACGCCGAAACACACTTGTCACGAGCGATGGAATGTCCGCTCGTGCTTCTCGCGTTCCTCGGTCTACCACTTCTTTTCTCGTCGTTTTTGAAAACCATGTTTTCGGGTCCTCGCCGCTGCAGAAGCTGTGCACTGAATACCAGACTCCCAGAGAAATGCTCTGTGCTACCAGACCCTCGCGCTCCAAATCTGCGACCGGGCATTCTATGGCTCCGTCATCGAACTGCCAGGCTTTGTGAGTATAGAGGAGGTTATGATCCAGCCTATCCAGGACATGCTTCAGTGGCGCTCTCTCGAGCCGTCGACACGGAGTGCGGTAGCCGTGAGCGCTCGCTGAGCTCTCTACCCCTCCTGTAGTTAACGGCCACCCAAGCCAGGACCAGGGACGTCATGAGAGAGGTTATTTGTTGCTTCTTTTTCTAATTCTAATCTGTCTATAACTTATAAAATAAAGCGAATTTCGAGAAAAGAAAAGTTTCACTAAGTTACTACGTTCAGTGTGTTCAAATTCGGTGCCAATTGAAAAACAGTCAACACGTCGTTGCCAGACCCCTTTAAGGAGTTGCCATGCCGCAACGGCAGTGACATTCACATTCGATCGTATATTTTATTTCCTCCTCCTCCTACCAGTACTTCTAGCAGCAAGCGCCAGGATGGCGATCAAAAAACATTACAGGCCAGCTTCTGTGACACCAATCCTTGCACCTTTCGGACCACGTTTGCTGTGCGGGCGGCATAGGACTCTCAAAAGCGCACCATTCAAAAGGGAGTTTTCGTAGATCGTTTTCACCGCTGCGCAACCCTCTCCGCAGCCCGCTGCGATACCCAAATCTGTACAGTCAAGGCAGGCGCAGCAGCTGCTTCTTCGCTGCGGTTTGCTTAGCGGAGGGTGAAACGCTGCCTACGACAACTCCCTAAAGACTCGTTCAAGGTACCGCAGTCGCACAAACAAATGTATCGTGTGTTGCTCATGGTAATCGCGGGAGCGCTCCGCCGACGCTTGCTTCGGCGTTGCCTCCACCGCGTGAGGGCCCGTTCACACACCTGCGTTCGGAGCGACCACTATACTTACGGACGAATGCAACCGCTGCAACTTCAACTACAACTGTGCGCGACGAATACACACACATGCAACCGCATGCAACCACACGAATCAACAGCCAATGAAAAACGAGCTTCAGTTTTTTCTCCTAGCCAATAGGAAGCAACCCAGCTGCGCTTACAAACACGGCGGACGGTTTCGTGCTTGGCGCTAGGTCCTCACCGGTGCAGCCCGAGGTTTCGGCTACAGCGTACAGTCACGAAGATCTGCTGTGAGCCTACAATAGCTGTGTAAAGGCTGGTTCAGACATCTGAAACGAACCCGTTATCCACGACTGCGTCCGTTGTGACCGGAACCTCCACACTGCGGGGCACGTACACTCCTGCAGCCACTGCAACAAGCGCAGCGGGTCGGCAGCACGGTGACCGCCTCTCCGCCGCCGTCAGCTGTTTCAGCGGTGCGTCTAAAAAGAAGGGGACGCACTGCCATTCACTTGCGTAACAGTACATAGACAGACCATCTTCTATGACCTTAAGCTTTATTAATTTTTTTCAGGATATGCTTGCAGGGTAGTGCGTATAAAAGGAAAAAAAAATGCAGTACGCCGTCTTGCACGATCACGACTTTAATACACGACATTGCCAACGGTACAAACCTTGCCACACGCCTTTCCTACGATTATAAAACACGATGTAATCTTAGCAGTGATATAGCAACGAAGAAATATAATTTCGTGATCAAAGAGACGTTGCGAGCGTTCAGAATTGCTAGCACTAATCACTTTTTTCGGGTGATGAAAACGCGTGAAAATTCGCATCGTTAATACGGTACGCACCAGTAATACCTCGAACTTGAACACACGCATGGAATGCGCCAAAAAAGAATTCCGGGCGATGTTCGAGGACACAAATGCTAAGTAGGCACTACTGCAGTCGATGTAAACAAACACGACGACACGGGCGTTTCTGCTGTCTTGAGAGTGCCGCCACGAGATCGCCGTACGAGTAGGTGGATCTTCCCTTTTAGTACGTGCTCGGTTATCATAACGACACACGACGAAAATTCAGTCAAGGATAGCGCTTTTACGGGGAACGATGAGTTTCCACCAGACCGTCCACGTCAACGATCGCCACCGACGCCATGTTTTTAGATAGAAGGACCGCGGCACGACCGGGATGCAACGCGCGCGACCAAGCTCTCCTCGACCTGTGATTGGTCTGTCGCTCCCGTCGTTCCCGAACGCAACGAAAAAGTTCAGCCCGGCTCAGCTCCTTGCGTTGCGAACGAACACGAACGAAACGACCGTTTTACGCTTCGTTGCTATGGCAACTCGTCGTTCAAAACGGTTGCATTCGTTCGTAAGCGTAGGGGTCGCTCCGAAAGCAACTGTGTGAACGGGCCTTGAGTCAAAGAAATTCTTGCTCATTTGAAGCGACCGCACGAATCGGTTTCTTAGCGTACCAAGGTTTACGTTTGTACAGAGGTGACCGAGGATGACGTATTTTGTGCATAAATATTTTAGTATCTACGGCGGCAATCCGCTAAAATAAAGGTGTCTGATTGGCGCAGGACCCGACAAATTGTGGCAGCCGTTGACATATATGACTAGAAAGCCTGTACCGTATTTGCTCGAGTGATAAGTCGTCCTTCTGATCAACAAGTACTGTGGGTCTGGTTTCCCGCGGAGCACGGGGAAAGCTAATCACCGCGATCGACGGAAAGATGACAGCGATTTACGGGACGGAAATAACGTCTTCATGCGAAACGTTATCTGCTCAGATCGCATTTTTACGGAGAATCGTGTTCTCGACCTTGTTATTCGTTGCGTTTTTATGCACAACGCGATGATTGGCTACAAGCGTGCTATGCAGGAAAGTAGACACAAGGGCCTTGCTCATAAGAAGTGCGAACATTATTCGTGAAAATGCGGTATTACGGAGAGTTTCCAACAGCTCGATCGAGATCAAATGGTCTATGGACCGCGTTTGCGATAAGAGCTGCGAGGAGGTTTTCGAGAGCGTTGATCGTCTCTCTGCCTTTCCACCTGCTTCCCTTTTCGGCACGCGAAAACGCGGCACATGCGCAGTTGCGATTAACGTTCATAGTCTCTAGAGTGCACTGAACATCATATAGAATATAAATATTAAGAATATAACTATAATCTAAAATACTATTTTGGTTTACGGTATGAAAAGGTCGGTGTATTTGTTCTATAACACTTACCGCTGTGTATGCAGCGGACTCTCGCAACCATTGTAATTTTCTTACTATACTACGGAGTGAGGCTACCATGTAGGATTACACTTTTGCGAACTTACCGCACTCTACAATGGAGAAAAACGTAACCCTTTCAAGGCGCACGTTCGTGGTATAGACATTTACCTTGACACTGCCTGTTTTTCTTCCTACTTCCAGGAGGATCACATTTCATTTTGACAACTTATATTCGTGAACATGTACCACCGCTATAGCAAAACATCAAGAAAGACCGATGGTATTCATGTAGAATAATAATAAATCGCACGTAACTGCCTCTAATTTTTGCCATTCCAGTTGTTGAAGACTCTCGAGGACAGATATACTTTTCGGAAAGACACCAAAACTTCCAAAAAAACTTGGCTGGTTGGAAAACCGACCACATGTTTGCGGATGCTTTGGAAGACAGAGGCGAACATGTCTACCGCCAGCATCTTTTTGACCTACACAGATGAAAGGAACAGAACGTAAGCTAACATTTAAGCTTCGCCCCTAAATGAACCGTAACAATAACTTAACAGACTGTTGTTTGCTTTTTTACAGGATAATCGATATACTATCCGTGAAAAGTGAATCTGAAAATACCTTAGAGTTTACGTTCACTGATATGGCTTTAGAAGGTAAAACATCTTTTACTTTTAACTTTGCGAGTTCAGTTTCGTTGGCATTTTCTTCCCCTTCAGGCAGTTCTTTACTCTGGTATAGGCCTATATAAGAAGGTGATATATGAAATACCTTACAGGTTTTATGGAGCTTCATCTTTCCGCTTGTGCAATAACCCCCCCCCCCCCCCCCCCCCCTGGCCCTTCGCTCAAGGCATATGACGTTTGTTGAAGCTAATTTCCGACTTTTAGGGGCGAAGCTCCCTAGGGTCTAGCCTTGTCCGTCCATCCGAACCTGTGCGGGAAGACCCTAATGGATTTCTAGTCCATCGCCTTAACCACTCGGCCACGAATGCGGGACGAGTAGGGTGCTCTGAGATGTAGTAGTAACTCAAGAGCTGGGGATGTCATGGAAGAAACGTTGCATGTATCCGCTCAACATCTATACAGGAGAGGGCGCTGCGGTCACGTTCCATACCACACATTCTCTTCTTGACATGGACCGTGAGACTTAAGCGGTGGAGAAGCGTTCCCACGGCTTCTAGCGGATCCAAACTGATCCGCTAGAAGAATCACTGGCTCTGCATTTCACCGACATAAAGCAGTAATAATGAAGTCGAAACGCAACCCGCAACTCAGCACTACATGTGAGCCATAAAAAAAATCAGCACCATCAGCACTACCTATGAACTATAAAATCAGTATCATCAGCACCACCAGAGCTTCGCCCCAATCAGCATCATTCGCCTCGTGGAGATGCGGTCATTTTTTCATTGTCAAAGCAGTGAACTTTTTATGTGGACTCCAAAAGTAAGGAAGGCGCATATGCAACAATTTGTCGCTCCCCATATAAGGCGAAATGTATTTTAGTTTGAACGCCGCAACCACCACTGGTTTGTGTCATGTATTAGTCCTTGTTTCTAGCGTTGAGCATTTGACTGGAACTGATTGCAAGAAAATCTGCTCCGAACGATCAGGAAGCGGTCGTGTCAAATGCTTGCAGAAAGTGCACAGTTAAACCACTCCTCTCCATAAGTTATGACACAAACGACGGTGGATGCTGCCAGTTTGTCCGACCAATCAAATAGCGCGTGTCCGTACTGCCACTTTAAGCCGGGGTTACACTGCTTATACCATACAAAATACAGTCTGCTAACAAATTCGAACGGGAGTCATCGAGAGGTCCGTGCTTCGAATGCCTCATGGCAATGAGTTCAAGGAGAAAACTTGGCACGCGGCATTCTACCAACGGATACTGTGGTGAGTCGTGCTTGCAGACTGTCTCTTGCATCATATATGAGTAGCGTGACCCCGGCTTTAGGGATTGCATGCTTTCAGGCAACGCGGTATCGTGACCAAACGGTCATGTACTGTCAAAATAACATCCCGCTCTTTTGCAACCGAAGCTCTATGGCGCTTAAAGTCTCATATCGAGTTTCTTCTCGTTTATTCGAAGGATTAAAACAAAAAAGAGGTTTGTGTGTTTCAAGCGCATTTGGGTTGTTTACACGCTTCTAAGAGTGCACAATTATGGCTGGACGTCGAATAAAAAATGTAACCTAATTAGTCGCCACCATTTAATCGAAAAATAATCGATTAATTGATCTCGTTCGTTTTCATGCTTAATATTTTTAGAACGTCAAATTTACATTTTGTTTGCCTTTGCTGATAATGTTTCAAACGGCGCAATATGCAATTTTGATTATGAATCAAGCTCGACGTGTAGTTAAGAACAGTTAAAGACATTCACACTCACAGATTCTCACTTCAGCTGCATGATGCAAAGGGGTTCGTTGATACCCTCCGCCACGAGTGACCTCCTTTCATTGCTCACAGTATAGTCTCTGCGGCACTAAATGAACACTCGCACGGCGTTTAAGTGGCCGCGACAAGTGTTGCTTTCTGCACATCGTCTGGAGTTACAAATCTCGCTCCTACAGGTTACTTTAGGTAAGAATTTCTCTCAACGTTTTTCCTGCTCACAGGTGTACCCGTCCACGTTTGTTTAGAGAAAGCGTTTAATTTTTACTTTCTGTCGGTTTGTTAAACTTTTACCGATTAACCGGTTAAAAATTAATCCCGATTAAAGCATTGTTTGAATATTCGGTTCATAGTGCAATAACAATATTAAGGTTGCACCAGAAGAACATTATGAATATCGGAGGTCAAGTAGATCACAAATCACTGGTACCATATGACACCCATTAATCCGGAAAGGGCACGCGTACCCTGTGTATGTTATTGTAGATCTCAGGCATAATACTAACATTGCTATTTGCAAAGAATTCAGGTGTCTTATTAAACCAGCACAACACCAGAAACAAAAACAGAAACATACAATCTGCAAGAGCTGTTCTAACTTCGTTTGCCGAAATACATTTCTTCTTTTTCAGAGTTCCAGGACAGAAAGGTGAAATATAAGGTTCTTAGTACGAATTCTTCTTGTAGCATTTTAAAGATACCAAAAGCCAGCTGAGAAAGTAAGTGTTTAATTCTATTTTCTGAGCCTTTATCGGTCACATTACAACTCAGTAACATTAGTAGGTAATGTAGAACCAATAATTCCAACTAATCTCATTTTTTCTTTACTAAGTTGTAATTGCCTAGAATTTTGTAAATTTCAGCGTTGCGCAGACATTTTCAATGCGTCTGTGTCAAAGAAAATCTTTTGCGTTATTTAGCTAGATCTCTAAAATAATTCTGCAACTATTAACTGTGGAGTCTACGTGAATTACCATAGAAGACGAGAAACAATGAAACGTACGGGATATATTTATATGAGGTTATTCTGCCATGTCTTGAATGTTCAAACGCACCTTGAATTGTAGGCTTCAGAAAAGGGGACCGAAAAGGGTACAGGTAGCGCGTTACGTTTTTATGTAACGTAGTAATCTACTTGTTACTTTTCCAAAAGAGTACCGGCAACGTACATACGTTAATTATTTGTAACAGGCAACGTAGTTACGTTACTTCTTACATCTTCCCAAGGCGTGAAAAGAATACAGATAAATATTTCCGTGTTTCTATATTTTTGTTATAGGCGCTAAGTCATTAATTATTGCACTCATTCTACGTACCTTCAAAATTTTACCAGTCTTTTCCCCGCGCAAAAAAACCCCGCTTTAGGAAAAACCCCACACCCTCGCCCTTTGTCTTAGTGTCAAGTAAAAGCTGTCGCCAAAAAAAAACGCTGTTACCGTCAATTTATATTAAAAAAAAAAAAACGCAAAAAAAAGTCACGTGCGTTACAATAATCGGTCACGGTAACGCGTTCCATTTATTTTGAGGTAGCGTATGTCTGTAACTCTTTCCTTTGTTTTGCAAGTAGCGATCGAGTAATGCATTTTGTCATGGCCCTGTGTCATTAGGCGGTGGGGTGGTCTTTGTCGGTGTACATAATATACAAACCTGCAATCGCAAACTAAGGAATTTCAACTAAAGATTTATCAGGTTTGTTCTTTAAACCGCTAATTCATACAGACAGGTGAATTTAATATTATATTTCCAAACATTTTGAATACGGCAGTGCGACTAGTATCGTTCGAATATCCGACTGTCCGGAAAGAAGGAAGAGCGAAAAAGAGCCTAGGAAAGGGGTGGCCAAGCTGCAGCACGCGAGGCGCATGCGGCTCTTCGCGTGTTAAAGCGCAACTCGCGGTACCCCCCCCCCCCCCCCCCCCACACCACACACACACACACACACTTTCCCGCCTCCCTCCCGGTCACAGGAGCACTTCTTCCCGGTCACAGGAGCACTCCCTCCCGGTCACAGGAGTCTGGCCGCCGACCAGACTCGAGATTCTGCAAGGCACAAGGTCCCCCTCACCATGGGGGAGGAGGAAACAGGCAGTGAGGAACAGGGTAAAACGGGAGAGAGGAGGAAACAGTGGAAAAGTTGAAAGCGAAAACTGGTTGTCACAGGTTGCGGTTTGTTAGTTTTGTGCTACTGCCACCTTACGTACAGTTGGACTGCTTTTTACTCGGATAGATTGGAAGTAGTCCGAGCCTTCGTTTACTGCTCTGAAAAAAAAATTGCCCCTCTCCCCCCCCCCCCCCCCCCCCCCCCCACCGCGGCTCTTGAAAGCTTTGTGGTTTTTTTTTTTTCGGCTCTTAGGTCGGGTCAGCCCGGCCACCCCTGGCCTAGACCAAGGCAAGGCCCAAGGAGGAGCCCAATTTCCGGGGTTGCTTCCTCTTTCTGACGCTCGTGACATCATGCCTCCAAGCTCTGCAGCCTTTCCTTGGTGTTGCATTTAGACGCTGTGCTTCAAAGCCTGTTTAACCTAAGTCACCATAAGAGACGTTCCCCAAAGAAATAGTGACGCTCCGAATGACGGGAGGCGGACCTTGGTGGAAGGGTACTCCTCGTGGAAGCAGCGTTTATGAACAATGCCGTAACTGAGTTAATTTAAAAACGTTGGCTTTGAAGGCACGCCCCAGTAAGCTGTTAAAGAGTATAATGCGTAAATGTGATTAAGTCAGACTACAGTTGCCACACTATACAGTCGAAGCTATGGACGAATGTGCGCTTGCGGAGCGTCCATTAGGCTGTGCACACGCACTATTAATGCGAAAGCATTAACTGTCCTGTGGAGCGAGCTGACGTCATCAGTTTGAAGCGCGAAAACGGCACCTAGTTTCCTTGATCCCAAAGGAGAGAAGTAAAGCTGATGGATTTCGCCCTCGGTTCCATTGACTGGCGCGCGTCAACGGGGCTCTCATTGGCCGCTGCGCTTGTCAGATTCCACGACCGCTCACCCCATGGCGCTGTGTGCCCATCAGCGCGCCGCTAACACGGAGCGTCCAAGGTCAGCGTGCCCAGGGGAGCATGCGCGCTGACCGGCGACGAAAGGTACGCAGCAGACGAAAAAGGAAGCGGACGAGCGGCCTTGCATGCTTTCGCGTTCACAACTCATAAGAAGTGCTTAGGTGTACCTCGAGCCTTTTTAACTTATTCTTAAATAGCTCTCTGAGAATATAATGTGGCAACGGCGGTGATGCTTAACCGCCGAAAGGGCGTGCCCCGTATAACTAGGGTATAACTAAGGTACACAACGTTCTCAAACGGTACTGTATGTATTGGCCACTTTCATAAAGTGCCGCTACAGCTCACCACGTCAACCGCGCTCGTGATCGCTAAATACTACCTCAATTTACGGTTCATAGTTGACGTCACGTCCTGCTCAGGAGACGCTTTTTGACGACAAAGCAAAACGTCAGTTTTGGTTTCGTCAATTTTGTTTTTACGCAAAATAGTTTTATTTAAAAACTTGAGCATATTGCTAGGTTCTACAGGATCGGATATTACCCTTTTATAAAAACAATGTCTAAAAACGTCCTAATATTTCTTTTTCGCGCCTAATTTTTTAAAATTTTCAACTTTCCTTTTGGCGAAGTATTGTGCAAATTGATATGGACGTTGCAAAGATTGTGAAAGAGAGCAGACAAGTGTAAGGCCTATTGTTTTGTTTCATATTGTGCGTACTGGGTCCTGTACATTGGTGGAGGTGGCAAGGTTGTAAAGTGGTGCAAACCGCCCAGGAATCATACGTGCGATGTAGAGATACACACCCTCCAAAACCCTGGGAGATGCAAGGAAAAGCCCATGTGCTTTTACACTGAAACCTAAGTAGTTTACGTTTGTCCCAAAGCGATGTGGTTTATGTATAGAGTATGAGAGACAAAAACTATTGAAGAATTTCAACCTGGAAAAAGTAAAAGAAAAATAAAGGCGTCGCCAAGCACGAACGAGTGACATTCACGCTTTTAGCGTAAAAACCTTGATTGCAATGGCATGGAAACAGCATAATGATGTTTTTCCCCATACTGGCGAAGTATTGTGCAAATTGTTATGGATGTCGCAAAGATTGCGAAAGAGAGCAGACAAGTGTAAGATGGCGAGAAAGACAAAATAAAACAACCAAAACAATAATAACAAGAATAAGCCTTTAGTTGTTTAGACAGGGTATGTTTAATCAGCCAGTGCATGGCGACATTTTTACCCACTGCAGATGAGTAATTTAGCCAGTGCAGTAAGACTGCTGGCCTGGGCTGATGAAAGCTCATAACGTAACAGTAAAGCGCGAGACACATGCGCGTCAAAACTGTCCAATCCGACGTGCGAACTGTTTGACCGACGGTCAAACACGAGGGTTTTCGTCTCACCGGAGCGTCGAGCTCCGGCATGCGACCAACTCGCCAGATATTCGGCGCACGGCTGTCCGATTGTCGGAGGGCCGCAGCCAATGGCAGCACAGATGGCGCAAACGTCACGTTGTCAGGTGACTATCGGACTGATCGGGAAAGGAGGTGGTACGCGGCCCTGCGGCCGAAAAAATTTTTGCAGAAATAGTGAACAGACTGACGGCAATTCACATAGAAATCATAGAACTAACGACACAGCAAGTTGCTACTAAAGTCTTGATCGGCAAGATGAATGTAGGGCTTGTTGAATTTGATAAACTACTCTAAGAGCGCAGGCAAAAAAACGGAACGAATTCAGGCACTTCAACGTAGCATCGCTGATCTCAAAAGGACTATCAATTTTCGAAGTGGGAAACCTAGAGAACTCGAATATAGAAGCCGTAGATGAAACTTGGCTGTCACCAAAATCGCTGAGACGAAAGATGAATGGGAGGATCAGCTTAAGGCTAAAGTGTTTACAGAGGTTCTGGACGGCATACTAGGAACGACCTGCAACTCTATTTGAAGGATCCACAGACTGGGCGAATCTGGTGATGGAAGACCTGTCATCTTTCAAGATTTTAATGAAGAAGTAGCAGTACTTCGCAATGGCATGAAGTTAATAACGTATACACGAATATTCATTCGCAAAAAGTTAACAAATATACACTAAGTACACTGGCAAACCGCCGGTCGCTTTGGCTAAGCACCACGGACGATAAGAAGCAAGGGAAACAAGTTTTCTTTTTGGTGCATGACAAACTCCGAATAAATTATGACTGGTACATCTGAAATGACGTTGCTAATTTCCGTGTTCGCTTAACACCATAGCGGCGAAGTTCCAGTGAATGGCTCTTATGTTCCGCCGTATCTGAAGGACTCTACATTTTAAACATAAACGCACAAAGCATGGTGAATGCAGTTGACAAACTGGAACTTCTTTTATTGAATTATGACCCTCATATTACTGTAATAACTGAAACTTGATTGCATGATGAGATTGGCGATGACAGCCTTGTCCCTCCATCCTACAAGAAATTCCGTAGACACCATCCATCAAGTGGTGGAGGGGTTGCTGTAATATTGAAAAGTAATATTCATGCTGTGCTTTTAGATCAGATCAAATATCATGGCAGCTTATGTATGAAGCTGAATTGCTGGGGCAACAACATTGTTCTGTAGGCTGTGTGTAGAGCTCCCAATTCTCCACCCGACTTTCTGAATCAGTTATATAACCACATGTCCCTGTGCAGGAAAAATAGGCTTGAAGTCATTGGTGATTTCAACCTCTCGGACATATATTGCGTAATTCCTTGAGCATGATCCACATGTTATTGTCCTAACCGAGACTTGGCTACATAGTATCATTGCCGACTCCGAAGTCTTTCAAAGGGACTATGGCGTGCTACGGAAGGACAGAGAAACTAGAGGAGGAGGCGTTTCCGCTCTCATAAGGGACTCTCTAAAGCATGAGGCGTTGCCTGGTATTAACGACCATGAGAGCGTATGGTGTAAACTACTCCTTGACGAGATGGTCTTCCTATTTGGTGGCGTGTATAGGGCCCCGGGCACTGGAATTCATTTCCTCGAGAAGATAGACGATTTTTGACTACACTTGTGAGAAACAGATCTAAAATTATCGTAACGGGAGACTTTAACCTGCCACATATTGATTGGCATGAACTAAGCCCAGGCAGAGCGAATAGATTGCATGAAGAATGTTTGTTTGATATAATGCTTAAATATGAACTCACAGAAGTAGTTAACGAACCAACCAGGATTCAGGGATCATGTCAATCTGTATTAGATATCTGCCTGGTATCTGATTACTTTTTGAATTACAAAGTGTGTGTAGAGCACGGAATTTCAGATCCTAAAATGGTTATCTTGACAATAGAATTGGGCAGTCTACGCTTTCAGGAAATGAACCCTCAAATTGTTTATGATTTCACACGAGCAGACGACGCATCGATATTAGATTATCTCAAACTATATTTAGACCGCATAGATAAAAGTAATGACGTAGATTACTTGTGGGGCTACTTTTCAAAATGCAGTGGCTTAGTGTCTTGCAAGATTTGTTCGGAAAAGAACAATAAAAAGAAACAAGTATAATCCATGGACAACACAAGACATAATTCGCCTTAAACGTAAACTAAAACGAAAAAGAAAGTAGAAAAAATAAGAACGCTCTAGTGATTGCTAATTTAAGCCGTGAAGTACGACCAAAGGTCAAGGCTGCTAGAACAGAGTTATTTTCTACTACCTCGAACGATTACTTAAGAGATTCGCCACGCAGATTCTGGCAGTATCTGTCATGTAAGGAACATAGAGTTAACGAAATCATAAAGGATGGAAAAGTATGCAGCAATCCAGCAATTGGCGGCTGAATTTAATAAGTTTTTTTTCTTTCGGTTTTTACCGAAGATAATGATCGTTAAAGTGTCAAAACTGATGTTACTGGTCTGCCTGAAAGAGAGGTTGTAGTCTCGTATGAGGGTGTTCTTTCTATGCTACTGAATATCAATGCAAAAAAAAGCGCCGGGTCCAGGTAACATACCAAAGGAATTTTTGAGACGTTACTGTCTAAGAGTTACTGAGTTTTTAATACTTATTTTTGAAGCGTCATTGAACCAGAGGAGGCTACCTAAGAACTGGTTACTTGCGCGAATAGTCCCTATTCAAAAATCCGGGAGTCAACTTAATGTTGGAAATTATCGGCCGATATCTCTTACTTCTATTGCCTGCAAACTCCTCGAACATATTATTTGTAAACATCTTACAGAGTTCATCGAACAGAATTGCCTCTTTTACGAAAGACAACATGGTTTTAGAAGGAAGTTATCAACTGTCACCCAGTTATTTCAAGCAACTCATTATTTTTGCATCTGTTTTAAATGAGCGTGGGCTAGTAAATGTGATGTCAATTGATCTGTCAAAAGCGTTTGACAAAGTCACGCACTCGAAGCTGCTCAAAAAATTGTTGGGTTTTAGGCGTAAGTACGCCTATTGTTTCTTGGATCAAATCTTACTTGTGAAACAGATTTCGATTTGTTGAGATCGTGGGGGAAATTTCCACGCTACTGCCAGTCACTTCCGGTGTGCCTCAGGGCTCGGTTTTGGGGCCAATTTTGTTTCTTCCGTATATAAATGACATTGCAAATGAAATTCATCCATCTTTTGACGTCCGCCTTTTTGCAGACAATTGTCTAATGCACATAAAAGTTAATTCACAAAGGGACCATATGTAATTAAATAACTTGTTAATAACTATGCACGAGTGGTGTCACAAATGGGATATGAAGAAAAATTTTGATAAGACAACTTTTGTAACAATCACAAAAAAGAGGTCGCCTAATATGTATCCGTATTCCTATAGTGGTTCACTTTTGAAACAATCCGAAACTTTTAAACACTAAGGAGTCACCATTTCTAACGATCTAAACTGGATGGTACATATATTTATTTATTTATATATTTATTTATTTATTTATGTATTTATTTATTTATTTATTTATTTACAATACCCTCAGGGCCATAAGGCGTTAGAGAGGGGAGCGGGTGTTTAGTACAATGGTTGATAGTGCTTCTCGGAATCTGATGGGATCCTGAATGGTGACGATGTCTTCGGGAAGGTCATTCCAGTCCACAATTGCATCAGGAAGAGCGGCGTGCTGATGTTTGCACGCCGCTCTTCCTGATGTTTGCACGCCGCATAAACACTTGGCCGGGCTATTTTATTGCAATGATCAAGTCTTAAGGAAAGATAAGCCGGTGTGGAAAGAAGAGACTGATTTAAATGAGGTGAATAAAAAAACTTTATGGGATATTTTTCGACGGGTGAAAAGCAATGGGAGAGAGAGATTTGATTTAATGAGGGAAACACTAGAAAAACTGGAGTAATCAGACTGAATAAACGCGCAGCACGGTTTTGAACAGATTCAATGTAGTCTGTTAATGTAGCTTGATGAGGATGCCAGATTGAAGATGCGTATTCTAATTTAGACCGGACTAGGGCAAGATAGGGGAGCCGTTTTAGTTGAGAAGGGGCGGATCTGAAATTGCGACGAAGGAAACCCAAGCTTTTGTTAACGGAACTCACAACTGAATTAATATGGTTTTCCCAGGGGAGGTTTGAAGTTAGAAGAACGCCGAGGTACTTATACATATCCGTGGATTGAAGAGGGATGACATTAAGAAAATGAACAGGAGCGGTTTGAAAAGAGGAACGAGAGGAGCGCATGCATTTATATTTGCTGACGTTAAGCGTCATCTGCCAGTTAGTACACCAGCTCTGAACTAGGTCGAGGTCATTTTGTAGGGTTACAGAGTCATGAGGGAATGTTATTTTTCGGTAAAGGACACAGTCGTCGGCAAATAGGCACATGAGTGAAGATACTTGAAGAGGAAGATCGTTGATGTAGATGAGGAAAAGTAGCGGACAAA